TTGAGACGGAGTTTTGCTTTTGTTGCCCTGGCTGGAGTGCAAAGGCATGATCTTAGCCTACTACCACCTCTGCCTCCCTATTCAAGCAATTCTCCTGTGTCAGCCTCCCAAGTAGCTGGGATTACAGGCATAAGCCACCATGCCCAGCTACTTTTTAAATTTTTTTTAGTAGAGACCAGGTTTCTCCATGTTGGTTAGGCTGGTCTTGAACTCTTGACCTCAGGTGATTCACCCTCCTTGGCCTCCCAAAGTGTTGGGATTATAGGAATGAGCCACAGTGCCCGGCCCTCTCTTTTTCTTTCTAGCAGAGATGGGATCTCACTATATCACCCAGACCTTTCCTGAAATCCTGGGCTCAAAAGCCATCCTCCCTGCTCAGCCTCCTGTGTACCTGCCTCCTGGGGCTACAGGTCCTCACCATCGTGCCCAGCTCCAGCCCCTTTCCAGATGGAGAAGCTGGGTGGGCGGTGCTTCTTTAAGGAGACCCAGCCCTTTGGGGACAGACTAGAGGTTGAACCCTGGACTCTGGATGGCCAGAATAGTGTCTAACTTTTGCTGAAGAAAAGATGAGACACAGGCTAGACAGGCAGTGCCTTGGGCGGGCCCGGGATGGAATGATCCAAGATGGGGCAGGCTTACTTCCAGGGAGCCACATCCTGGGTGCTCAGCACATCTCCCAGGAGGGTTAAAGGGACATGTGATCCTCAGCCTGCAGCTCATAGGGAACAAGGAGAAGATGAGCAGATGGGCGCTATGGTGAGGGCCGCCCTCCAAGGGCTCAAGGGGGTTCTTTCCACAGCTGAAGGGCCACCGTGCAGGAGAGGAGTGGGGACAGTGACTGTGTGGACACAGCCCCAGCTTCAGACCCGTGCAGCCTGTCTTGGGAACCCTCTAACTTACTGGCCATCCAACTTGGGGAAAGCAGTTACCCATACTGACTCCACATGACCTTTGCAGTTTCCATATCTGCAAAATAAACAGGTGGTCTCCTTTTCACATAGGGCGGAGGTCAGTGGTGCAGAGAAGGTACCGCAGAGCAGAGGCAAGCCATCTAGGAGAAACTGCACAGGTCTGCAGGGCTCTCCAGGAGGGCAGATAACAACCAGGGCAGTGAATCCGGAAAGGCAGTATGCAACCCATCTCAAGGAGCAGGACCTGGCACTGTCCCAAATCCCCATGGCCTACTTAGGGAGACATCGGGCTCCCCTGCCACACAGAAGCCCAAGGAGAGCTGGGATGAGCATATGCCATGAGTGTAGAAGGGAGTCCTGCATGGACGGGGGGTTTTCAAGACACGGCTTTAGGGAGCAGGAGATAGGGAGGACCCTGGATGCGTCTGGAAGAAAGAGTCTAATGTCTACATCAGAGAACCTGAGCTGCTAACCTTTACTTGGTGGAGAAATCAGCATAGAAAGACACCGTCTAATGGTTTCAGACCACCTTCTCTCTCTGTGCCTATGCAAATGCAAATGCACGTGTTAGGGGCCTTGCAGCCACGGTTCCTACCTGCCCTCCCTTCCCAGGCCTCTCTCTGATAACGGATTGGTGACTGCTGGCCCACAGCTGGCTTCCTCACTCTCAGGAAGGATGGAGGTCACCTACTGCATGGAATCCACATGGCCTACCTCCTAGAGCTGAGAGCCGGATTAAATGAGATTGCTTTTGCAAAGTGTTGCGCAGTGCCCAACACAGAGGAGGTTTCGGCAGACACCGGCTCACTCCTCCACCGAGAATCTCCATTGTCGCTGAGCTCAGGAGACATGTCTAGCCCCACTCACCGCGGACAGTGATACCAGTATTCCTAGCATGTTTTCCTCCTAGAAAACTGCCCGTGGTGCGGATTTGCAAGCCTTTTTCTGGTCCTCCAGTCATTGGCCACACAATTCATAAAGAAAAAAGGCCTTATGGGATTGTTTCAGGTGGCACACAGGCGAGACGCCTGCGTAGTCTTCTGCCAGTGTTGGTGAAGGGGATTGCAGTGGTAGGAAGACAAAGTGAGGACCTATGGCACGGGGAGGGGGTCGGCCCAGGCCAGAGAAGGAGTCAAGGTGCTCAAGACATTCCTGCCCCAGAGCCTAGGAGTCAGGAGGCAGCACCTTCCCTACAGGGGCTCCCTGGAAGCCTAAGCTTGGCTGGCTCCTGTCTCCTCCCTACCGCCCCCTGGTGACCTCTGCAGAATTAAACACCATCTCTGGGACTCCAGAGCATTTCTGAGGCTCTGGTCATTGCCCGGGCAGCCCCAAAGCCTCCTTAGCAGGGTGAAGGGTAGAATCAGGTTGGTTGGACAGAGCCTTCCTAAGATAGCTGCTTCAGAACAACTGATGAGCTTCCAGTTCAAAAACTCTGCTTGCGTTCTCCACTGTAACTTCCCAAGCACGAGGCTGCCTGTCTCTCCTTCCTCCAGCAAAGGTTCTGACATCTGCAGACCCTGGAGATGCACACACCATCGAACGGCCTCGTCTGTCCTGTGCAAACCGCCAGCACGCTGCCACCTCACCAGGCACAGCCACCAGCCATCCCCAGGAGCCTCCTCGGTCCCAGAGAGGGCGACAAAAGGAGTCGGGCCGCTCCCTCCAATTCCTCTTCTCCTTTCCATCCTCTTCCTTCATCACGAGGCAGACTTTAATCCCCCTCTAGATCCTTCTCTCCCCAACCTCTTCCCACACTGCAGGGACTCAAAGGCCTATGCCTGAGGAGAGCAGAGAGAAGTCAAACAGAATAACGCTTTCCAAATCCATCAATACAAACATGGGTTGCCATGGCGACGCAGTCAGTCCCAGGGAGTCTGGCAATTGCCTACAATGAAACTTTTTTTTCCAAAGACACAATTTCCTTGTTTGCATCTGAAAGTGGCTTCCTGGCTTCTGGGCTCCCGCTGTGATGCAGTGCCTGCAGGAAGGATGCTAGTGCTGGGATTCAAAGCAGAGGGCGGCTCAGGCCCCCACCGCCCCGTCATGTGCCTTCCCAGTGGAATGCTCTGGAAATTGTCTTTTTACAGAACAATTCCTTTAAGGAGAGGATGGACATGTAGGCTTGTCTCAAGCCTGAGGGGCTCAGGGTAGACCAGAGGGAGGGGGACCCACAGATGTCAGGAGCAGGGGGAAGGCCAAACATAGAGGTGGTCCAGGAAAGGGTGGTGACCAGTGGAAGGGACAGACAGTGTGATGGGAGGCCCCTCCACAGGACGGCCAGCCGGAGCTGAAGCAATGGCGGCACAGTCGCTCCATCCAGGGCGCTGTGGCTGACTCACTAGCCCCTAATTCCTATCTCACAGGCAGGGCCTTCGCAAGTTTCCTGGCATCCCTGAGCTGCAGGACTGTCACCCGTAAGATGGAAACAAGTGCCACTCCCTCCAGGCTGGTAGGAGCATTGGTGGCAGCAGTGCCAGAAAAACGCCAGGAGCTGAGCTGCTGCATGGGGTGCTCTGCTGCTTTTCCCTTCTAAGTCCCTCTGTGTGGGAGCAGGTGAGAACCGAGGGTGGGAGGCAGGTAAGGCAGTTCCTCATGCAATAAACACCCACCCTGCAGGTGAGGGAGGTGCTGCGTTCCTCATGCAATAAACACCCACCCTGCAGGTCAGGGAGGTGCTGCGTTCCTCATGCAGTGAGCACTGTCCCGGAAGGTGAGGGAGGCAAAGTGTTCCTCCTGCAGTGAGCACTGTCCCTGCAGGCCAGGGAGGTGCTGTGTTCCTCATGCAGTGAGCACTGCCCCTGCAGGTGAGGGAGGTGCTG